ATAAGGTGCACACCCTCCCCTAGATCTGTATGGATTCAATAACCCATCCAGTCACACTTCCATCTGGACCAAACTACTGTCCATCCCCCACCACATATTATGGTGACAGGACACATAAACTGAGACTCAAATGCAACTCAGTAGACACATTTGTGTTGTGGAATCATGAAAGGTTGCTGGCTTTACCCCAGGTGAAGGAAACACATGTCCTTTATTATCTCTCCCATTATCATAATGGAGACGCCTTATTGCTGCCTTATCTTTATGTTGCATTTGACAGCCTAACTGTGCGTGTGTGTGTGTGTGTGTGTGTGTGTGTGTGTGTGTGCGCGCATTTAGATTTAATACCACGATGGGCTTTCAGTGAACTTGACAACTCTACTATTACCCAATGACTATAGACTGTGCGTTAGACCTAAGCGTTAGGCGTTAGACCTGTGCGTCAGACTCATGCTTGGTGCTCATTAACGCAGCGTTACGTCCCACCCCGGGTGATGTGACACGTCGCATTGGTGACGCTGCGTACACGTAGCGGTTTGTATTTCAGTCTCCCATTGGTATTTTTGTAAAGTACAGTCGATCTATTTCTAATCGCTTCCTATTTAAGGGTAACCCCTCTACTGTTCCTATGAAATTGTGAGTTCACCACCCTGCTACTGCTGTAATATAATGCATGACCCGGATAATGAATGAATAAACAGGGAATATGGGTTTAATGAATGAATAAACAGGGAATATGGGTTTAATGAATGAATAAACAGGGAATATGGGTTTAATGAATGAATAAACAGGGAATATGGGTTTAATGAATGAATAAACAGGGAATATGGGTTTAATGAATGAATAAACAGGGAATATGGGTTTAATGAATGAATAAACAGGGAATATGGGTTTAATGAATGAATAAACAGGGAATATGGGTTTAATGAATGAATAAACAGGGAATATGGGTTCACAGCGTGGTGTGGTCGAGTCGGTGACCCAACGAATGGGCACAAAATGCATTATAATCAACTAAATACCTATAGCTTCGACCCAACAAGTAGTGACTGTAACTGGTTAAATGTTTCATTCAACCGGGGTACAATACAGATAATAACATTAATAATAATAATATCCAAACACACCGTCAAAACAGATGTATTTATAGAATTTCCATTAAATCTGCCCCGTTTAGTTCACATTTTACACATTACTATGTACCATAAACATTTGCTGTTGTTATTCACGATAAATATCAATGAATGAAACTTACTTTTGCGGCTAATTGGAGCACATCTTTGCAAACCGGTTTATTTGTTAACAAGCCCGCGTTGGAGAATTGTTCGGCTCCTTTCGCCATAACACTTAATGGATCACTAGATTATAACAATAAAATAATATACATATATAAATGTAGAAGAGGATTTTTAAATACAAGTCAGTAATAACACCAAGCTACACACCTCATGCTACTGGAGACTATTTGAAAACTGACGACGTGTATCAGTGTAGTAGTGTTAACCCGCCCCCTATATATACCACGCCCCCTATATACCCGCCCACAAAGCAAACAATGATTATTTACATTAAATTGGTACCTTTTACCTTTTAATTTGACTAGTTATCGTTTAAGAAGCACCTAGTACTTACAGATGAGTTATTTTTTAGTACTAATTGTTACTAGTCAGTATTTCACTTTACCAGTCACCAAAACATGCGTGTTGCGTTCAATTGATTATATTAAGTGTACTTTTGCTGTTGTCAAAAAGTGCCCTAACAGATACCTAACCTAAAAACCCTAGATGCAAGCAACAGCAAGAAATCAAAATAAAATGTTAATACACAACACGAAATAAATATACCACAGCATTACATTTCCATGTAATATATGTGTTGTACTTTTAATTTCTCTAACTCTGTTACCAGTTAAATGTTAGTGGCATCTAGCTCCATTAAAGTTCTCCTTGCTCTACCACAGTGTATCCAGAACATTCTATCACGGTTAGTTTTCTGAGAACAATTTGGGAACAGAACCCGAATGATCTGTGCTAGGTGAGCAGTAAGGCATTACTAATATATATACAATATATATATATCAAATTAAAATTGTCCATTGGTTGTATTTTCAAGACATTTGTACATAGAACAATTGTGTATTAAGGAGAGATAGAGTGAAAGACATTTTGTAATCAACGGGCACTAGGAAATAAACCCACCAGAAAACCCACCAGAAAACAAACACTTCCCATGTGTGGCTATGTTGTGTCTGCTAACATAGGTTCCTTCTACCAGGGATGTCTTTAAAATAATTGCTATGGCGATCTTAACTCAATTGTCTTGACCACCGCCTCTGAAAAGTGCAATATGCTACTGACCTGTCTTATGATATTTGAAATCATTTACTGAACGTCCTCAAACACCTCTCCCAAAACAGGGAGTGTGAATAAAACATGTCCCCTGCTCGTGGGTACCAAGTATTTGTTCCATGTAACCTTTGTTCATGCAGAGAAATGCAACTGTGGCCAAGGTTTCCCAAACAGCTGAGCCCTGATATGAAGTAATGGACACCAAAGGCTGCCTGGCTGAATTTTAGGTCATTACAACATCCCTCGGAGATGTCTGAGGTCAGAAAAACAGACACATTTAAGAAAAAAATCTAGAGTTGAAAAATCCAATGTTGTTTTCTTGGCAACCAGTTACATTTTTATCTAGTATTCATACATTATTTATTCTCTATAACACTCAGATTTGGGTGTTTTGGAGTTGTCTGGTGTGAGGACTGTGACGTGAACACGATATGCATCAGTTCAACAGGACCAGCAACTGTTGGTAAAGCAACCGAGTTTCAATTGAAAAGGTCAAGAGGGCATTGCATTCAGCAAGTATCTACAGGGAATGTACAAGATAGAAATATTATGTAAAAACAACATGCCCATGAAAAATACACCTGTAGCCAGAGTTAAATATCGCTTTCCTCATTCTTCTTCTGTGGGGAATCGCAAAATCAAACTGTTGATTTAATCAACTGAACTTTTGGGTGTTGCCCTGTTATGCGTTAGTTACATAAGTCCTGAGGGCTAAACACATTATATTGTTTCAACAGGTAGACAAGGAGCTTACTAACACATATTATGTTACATTTACAGGTACGTTTGCATCAACGGCCATTCTATAATAGTGATGACACTTTTACCTGCACACCTGTCTATTGTCCTCATGGGCATGGACCAACAAGCTGTTCTTCCAACATTTCACCAGTGACCTTAGATATTTTCCCACAGGCTTCCCTCAGCATCGTTGACCTTGAGCGGAAATTATCTAACTTTCTCAGAGGCTCCATTTTCACTAGTTTCAGTTCTCATGTGTCATCATTTGTATTTCACGTGTACCCTGCTGTGTGTGTGTCTCTGAACAAATATCACCTCCGAAAAAACTCTCGGATCAAAAATCCAGCCCATAAAGTCCAGATCTGTGACCTCCCAGCATCATAGAGAAATATGATCTGCTCAACCAGGGTGTGTTTCACACACATTACACACATACACACACACACACACACACACACACACACATACATACGTACATTCACAAATTCATGTGGAAACGCAAGAAACTGTTTGTATGACCACACACACAAATACACACGCACCATAAAATGAAGCATGACCTGGAGTGTTTGTCACCAAACATTGATTGTGCACGTGTGTGTGTGTGTGTGTGTGTCTGTGTCTGTGTGTGTGTGTTAGTGGAATGCTATGCACGAGCTCTATGCGTCACACTGGTGCAGAAGTATACATAGACAAGTGGAATGGAAAATCAAAACACACACACACACACACACACACACACACACACACACACACACACACACACACACATGGAGTGATCACAGACACCTGGAGCTTAATAATGGTGTGCTTCAAGCTGGTATATTAAAGTGCATTTCCTCTGTCAGTCTGTCTCCATTTCCATGACCTGTTTACTTCTCTTTTAAACTGATGTTACCGTTCAGTTATCTGTGGCAGAGATCTGAAGATAAACACGCACGCACGCACGCACACACACACACACACACACACACACACACACACACACACACACACACACACACACACACACACACACACACACACACACACACACAAACACTGATGATGATAAAAACACAGACCGCTCATGAATGGCTTGTTTTGATATCTCAGCTGATAGGTCCATAAGTCCATGCTAGCGTGTCCTGGAGTTACTGATGACCTGACATACAGTAGATACGTGTTCAGGTCTGGTCAGTCGGACCCAGATGATGTCACAGTAACACAGTAGCTTTAGTTCCAACCAGTCAACACAGATCAGACCACAGATGGAGCCTGTGTCTAGTCTGAACATGTCTATGATGACAGAGGAAGGCCTAGACAATATGATTTAGTCTGTCCCAAACATATTTATCTGCTCAGGGTGATAGCTAACCTGTGCTAGGACTGGAACATTGAAATGTACAGTGGAGATAAAAAGTCTACACACATGTTAAAATGCCAGGTTTTGTGAAATGAAAAAAAAAAATAGAAAAAGATTTATCATGTCAGAACATTTACCACCTTAAACGTGACATATAACGTGACGAATTCAATTAAAAAACAAACTGAGGGGGAAAAGTTAAAAATGAAATGCGATATGGAGTCTGTTAAGATTTCTGGATCATTAACTGTACAGTCCTAAACTGGATTATACTTTACTATAATGTACTATACTGACACACACACAGACAATGGTCTCTTTAATTTAGTCTTTTTTAAGTATGGTCTCTTTAATTTTTGAACCGTTGGCTCTTTTCTGTATATTACAAAGTAAGTGACCTTTATACTTTGACCCTTGAAAAGCCATGTTGTGTTGAGATCAGAGCATCAGATCAGAACTGTACAGTGTGTGTGTTCTTCAGTTCCACATCGATCTTCCTCTTTCCCTCGCTATAATTTTTAATTTAACCTTTATATAACCAGGAAGGCCGATTGAGATTTGTATCGGCGACCAGCTGGGATTTGAACCCAGGACGTCATACACACAAAGCATCCACACACTGAGCTACCAACTGCACCCTCTCCTCATCTATTCTCACCTCCTCTCGGTTCATCTACTTGGACTGACAGGAACCTGTCATGGAGGACAGTGAACATCCATATACCCATATTTCAATTACACACACAAACACACACTCAGTTGAACACACACACACACTTAATAAGCAACAGAAGAGGTGGCACCGTGACAACTTTTATTCAGACATACAATATAAACTGGTGCAACAAGTCTTTGTTGCGTGCGTGCGTGCATGTGTGTGTGTTTTTATGTGCGTGTGTGCGTGTGTGTGTATTGAGTTTATCTCAATCTAAAATCTCTAGTCTATATCTTCACTTGGCCCAGCCTAATGAGCACAGACCTATCCAATGGCGTTATAAAATAATGTGACTTAATCGGATTCTGGTCAGTTTATGCAAAAATCGTCGTTCCTCCCTTTCTGTTACATGTTGAGATCTCTTTAATGGCTTGCAATAAGTTCTACTTTCTGTTTCCTGCTCACCTGATCTCGGCAGATGTTGGCCTGTAGTTGACTGGATCAACCACCATCGTAAGTTATAATGCTTTTCTGACATCTAGTGGTAAGATTATGGTACTGCAGAGAAGACATCCATAACGTCTGAGTAAAGGAGGTTTTTACTGACTGCCCTCTAGATGGCGACATAGAACCACCATGACTGATGATTGACGACTACATGCCGTCTTTTGTTATGCCCTGTAGTTTGAGCCGTCTTTCATAACGCGGTGAGGATTACTGATCACTGAACTTGAACCACTTAACAACACCACAGGACAACTCAACACCACAGGACAACTCAACACCACAGGACAACTCAACACCACAGGTAAACTCAACACCACAGGACAACTCAACACCACAGGACAACTCAACACCACAGGACAACTCAACACCACAGGACAACTCAACACTACAGGACAACTCAACACCACAGGACAACTCAACACCACAGGACAACTCAACACCACAGGACAACTCAACACCACAGGACAACTCAACACTACAGGACAACTCAACACTACAGGACAACTCAACACTACAGGACAACTCAACACTACAGGACAACTCAACACTACAGGACAACTCAACACCACAGGACAACTCAACACCACAGGACAACTCAACACCACAGGACAACTCAACACTACAGGACAACTCAACACCACAGGACAACTCAACACTACAGGACAACTCAACACTACAGGACAACTCAACACTACAGGACAACTCAACACCACAGGACAACTCAACACTACAGGACAACTCAACACCACAGGACAACTCAACACTACAGGACAACTCAACACTACAGGACAACTCAGCACCACAGGACAACTCAACACCACAGGACTCTAATTGACAGACAGAGAAAGAGACAGACAGATAACACAATTCTACTGGGGTTCCAGTAGTGATGTGATATCTTACAAAATGACAAAAAATTATGCAATGAAATGAAATATGATCAATGAACAAAAAGAGATATCTGCCACAGTTAAAGCATAAAGCTGAGCTTACTGAGGATAAGTTAAGGTTCGATTTGGTTAAGGTTACAGTTGGGTTTAGATTTGGTTAAGGTTAGATTTGGTGTAGATATGGTGGGGTTCCGAATTATGGAATAGAGAACATGAATTAGTGGAAACAGTTAACAGTTTCTTGGGGGAAACTGTTAAACTGACTGATTGTCATTGATTACCTTCCAAGACCTGAAGGCAGACCCAAAAGGATGACAGGAAATACCAGACCGGGCAAATCTAACATCCTCTAGTCATTTCTACTCCACAATCCGAATTGGAGGATAAGGTCCGGTGGGAGGGACATCTGGAAATATCCTCTTATAGTCCTGAGGAGGAGGTTATCTGGTGCAGATCTATTTTAATGATTTGGTCAGCATCTAAATGCAAAGAGGAGGTGAAGACTGGAGGGAGTGGGGGGAGAGAGTCGGGGGAGTGGGGGGAGTGATGGACGATTGCTTACCTGTCCGAATGACTGATTTCCTAATCTGGGAGTGGGGGGAGGAGGGAGGACATATTGGAGGAGGAGGAGAAGGAGGAGAAGGAGGAGGAGGTGTGTGGAATGGATATCAATCATTCTGATTGACAACCGTGATTACAGCTTGAGGGAGGGGGTGTGGGGTTGAGCTGTACCCAGGAGTCTCACACACACGCACACACAGTTCTAACAATGTATCTGAGAGAACCACAGGTTTAAAGTAGGCAGACGTTCACAGGTTTATCACAACCTGTCCTTCTGTAAAACTGTTACAATAACACATTACTGTCATATAAAGGGCTCGGAAAACCCAAACGGTCGGCTGTTAAGCACCTACCAATTCAGTCGTTCTCAAACATCTCTTCTTTAAACCCTCGGACATTTGTCCACTGTGAGTGAGCCATGATGAGCCCCCAGTCCTGATCCACCCGCTCATGTGCTTTAATCAGGAATAAATAAAGGAATTAAAACATTCCATCAGGTGTGCTGGCTTGGGAAAATACACACTACCACCCATATAGCCTCTCACGAGACACGCCTTATATTAACGAGCCTGAAACTAATTGCCCTTCAACAACATTTCCCACAATGCAGCATAATGACTGTTGTCAACTGCATGTAGGGTTATTGACTGTTGAAATTAGAGAAAAGAACGTAAGTGTGCTGGATAAACCCATTACAAGTATTTCACTGGCCTTCCGATATGTCCTACATACACACACACACACACACACACACACACACACACTTCCACACACACACACACAGACTTGCACACACACACACACACACACACACACACACACACACTTCCACACACACACACACACACACACACACACACACTTGCACACACACACACACACACACACGCTGACTCTGCCATTGCTTTCAGCCTCTCTCCTATTGAACTGTGGCAGATGTGTCAGCATGGAGAAATACACCCTGATGACCTGATAAGTGACTACCTACCCTAGAGAACACAAGGATTTATGTGTGTGTGTGTATGTGTGTGTGTGTGTGTGTGTGTGTGTGTGTGTGTGTGTGTGTGTGTGTGTGTGTGTGTGTGTATGTGTGTGTGTGTGTGTATGTGTGTGTGTGTGTGTGTGTGTGTGTGTGTGTGTGTGTGTGTGTGTGTGTGTGTGTGTGTGTGTGTGTGTGTGTGTGTGTGTGTGTGTGTGTGTGTGTGTGTGTGTGTGTGTGTGTGTGTCTGTGTGTGTGTGTGTGTGTGTGCACGTAGATGATCCATCACTGACCAGAGCTCAGTTCTGACACATGGTGATCACCCTCCAGGGGATGCAGGGAGGAGCCTGACGCAGGAGGAATCACAGCCAAGCATCAGAGCCTCTCTCTGGGGAACAGCACTCCTGTAGATGCTCCATCAAGTGGTAACTCCCCCAGCTGCATGTCACTTGGACTGTGGTACAACACCTCCCTCTCTCTCTCTCTCTCTCTTTCTGTCTCTCTCTCTGTCTCTCTCTGTCTCTCTCTTTCTGTCTCTCTCTCTGTCTCTCTCTCTGTCTCTCTCTCTGTCTCTCTCTCTGTCTCTCTCTCTGTCTCTCTCTCTCTCTCTCTGTCTCTCTCTGTCTCTCTCTGTCTCTCTCTGTCTCTCTCTCTGTCTCTCTCTGTCTCTCTCTGTCTCTCTCTCTGTCTCTCTCTGACTCTCTCTCTCTCTCTGTCTCTCTCTCTCTCTCTGTCTCTCTCTCTCTCTCTGTCTCTCTCTCTCTGTCTCTCTCTCTCTGTCTCTCTCTGTCTATCTCTCTCTCTGTCTCTCTCTCTCATTCCCTCTTTTTTTTCCAAATCAGTTACATTTAAATGGGATCCATTGGCATTCATTACATTTCTGAAATACAAATAATCAAATACCTGCCGATTTCTGTCTCTGTCTTTTGTTATTTCCGGAGAGGTTCTATAGATCTCTGCGTTCCCCCGTTAGCCACCCCCCGACCCCCTACTACACCCCCCCCCCACACCCACACACCCCCGTAGTCGTAGCATTACAATAGCACCAGTGTCCCCCTCACATCGCTAAAGTAAGAATGCAGCTCCAACTTCAATCATTGACACCATCTGGGATGGAGGTGGGGTTTCTGATGTTGTGTATTGGGGGGGGGCTGTCAGTAGGAACCTGAATGATTTCAGTTCCAGCAGTAACACATACAAACACAGTTTTGGTAAATCTTTGTCTCCATGTTTTTGTTATTTGATAGAAAATAGATTAATTTTTATCGCCCACTTGCTTTGCCTATAAACAACTGTTTCCTGTTCCAATTTAACACTCGTTTTAATTTACCTGAATTGGGAAAGAGACAGATTGTGAGCAGTTGATTGACAGGTAGATAGAGAGGTGGAGAGACAGAGAGAGGGAGATATGGGTGGTAGGTTGGTAGAGATTGATAAAGGATGTGTCTTTTTATAAATGTTAAGGGACACAAAAGCTGTTTACTCCTTTCAGCTCCAGTGCTGTTTATGTTGCCAATAACAACAGTTCGAGAGGAATATCTCAGTGACGTGCGAGTCAAATAAAATACATGTTAACCAGGACAAAGGGCTGATGGAGAAGGCCAGAATGACCTACATGCCCAGCTCAAGAAAATAAAAAATGTCCCCTACATATACCACGGAAGAAATAGATGAAGGAGATGTCAATCAAATAATCAGGAGTGGCGTTAGCGCAGTCTGTCTGTCTGGTGAGGGTGTGCAGACCGTAGTCTGTCTGTCTGGTGAGGGTGTGTAGACCGCAGTCTGTCTGTCTGGTGAGGGTGTGTAGACCGCAGTCTGTCTGTCTGGTGAGGGTGTGCAGACCGCAGTCTGTCTGTCTGGTGAGGGTGTGTAGACCGCAGTCTGTCTGTCTGGTGAGGGTGTGTAGACCGCAGTCTGTCTGTCTGGTGAGGGTGTGCAGACCGCAGTCTGTCTGTCTGGTGAGGGTGTGCAGACCGTAGTCTGTCTGTCTGGTGAGGGTGTGTAGACCGCAGTCTGTCTGTCTGGTGAGGGTGTGTAGACCG